ATCGTTGCTGTTGTCGTCATCATCTTCTTCATGTTCATCACCAGTCACTACTATTAGTGTAGTTGTTGCTACTGTTGTTGCCTTGCACCTGTCTCTGTCTGTCTCTGTCTCTCGCCAAGTGCTTGCTCATGGTGGAAACTGTTGGGTCTCTGTAAATAACCCTATAAGGAGTTCGGTCTAGACCTGCTCTATATACTGTATTATATACACACAGTAAATATATAATATATTGTATTATATACACAGTAAATATATAATGTATTGTTTTATATACACGGTAAATATATAACATACTGTATTATATACACAGTAAATATATAATATACTGTATTATACACACAGTAAATATATAATATTATTGATAGAACAAAGAGGTCAGATCCAAGAGAAACTTTATTGGTACAAAGCACTTTAACAGCCGACAAGCAGAGAGAGAAACAGTATGGTTTGGCACCTGTATCAAACTGCATTCTGGGTATTTTTAATGAAGGGGGTCATCACAGGGAATTACATTACATTAGCATACAGAGATGATGATTGGCTGAGAGAGTTGACATCAGAGGGAGACGTTCTGTGATTGGAGGGATTTTATGAAGGATGCTAACGTGCTAATCAAGGCTAGTTATGAGTTAGCATGGAGTATCATGTTCTCTGTTTTCTCCTGAATGAACCTCCTGGAACTTTATTCAAGGACCTCCTCAAGGACTTTTCAGACCTTCGCCCGGAACCTGAGAAAGTCCTCAAGGGCTCCTGGAGACATTTTATTACAACTCTTCTATCAGTCAATTATTGATCTCCATATCAAATACATCAATGTTGTGTGTATATGTCTAGCTAATGTTAGCAACAATCTTCAAAATGTGGTTGTCTTTCCAACATATATTAGCCTTGCACATAGCATATCTAAGTACAGGAAAGGAGGAAGTTGACCAAGGTTCTGACCGAGGCTTGCTCACCTGTGATTGGAGAACAGAGCACAAAGGGGCGGGGCTTATGAAGGGTCAGTTGTATATGAGCATCAGTTTCAAAGCCATAAACAATATCCAGTATCGATATGTTACAAACTATCAAACTATCAGTGTAACAGCTGCTGTCGTCAAAAGAATCCGTCCAAAAGATCACAGCGATATATTAATGTTAATGTCAATATAGGGTCAATATGGGGTCAATATAAGGTCAATAAAGAGTTTATATAGGGTCAATATATGGTCAATATAAGGTCAATATAGGGTCAATGTGGGGTCAATATGAGGTCAATAAAGAGTTTATATAGGGTCAATATATGGTCAATATAGGGTTAATATAAGGTCAATATAGGTTCAATATAATATCAATATAAGGTCAATATAGGCTTAATATAAGGTCAATATAGGGTCAATATAGGGTTAATATAAGGTCAATATAGGGTCAATATAGGCTTAATATAAGGTCAATATAGGGTCAATATAGGGTCAATATAGTATCAATATAGGATCAATATAAGGTCAATAAAGAGTTTGTATAGAGTCAATATAGGGTCAATATAGTATCAATATAGGGTCAATATAAGGTCAATATAGGGGTTTCTTATAGCTGTATACATACGGACATAAACCACTATCTTTACATTGCTTCAGTAAAACAATATTTTACATTCATATAATTTTCTACTTTTGAATCTTGGACAACTTTCAGCTGTTTTATGTGTTTGATGAATTAGCCAACCAGCTAAAGGTTAGCTATGTGGTTCGTTAAACACTGTGAGCAGGGAGAATCTTCTAGCCTAGCTAAGCACAAAGACTGGAAGCAGGGGGAAACTGTTAGCCTAGCTTAGCACAAAGACTGAAAGAGGGGGAAACTGTTAGCCTAGCTTAGCACAAAGACTGCTAGTCTAGCTCCATTAGAGGAGGACAACCTCAAGTCTGACTGATCCAGTGGTCAATTTAGCTAGGCTAGCAGTTTCCAGTCTTTGTGCTAAGCTAGGCTAACAGTGTCCTGGATGTATCTGTACTGAACACACAAACATTAAACTATTATTATTATTATTATTATTATGACTGAACACCCGAATGCTCTCACCTGACGGACTGAACTGTGATTGATTGATAATCTGTCTAATAATGGATATTGATCAGATATTGATATGGGTGATAATCTGGATACTGATCAGATATTGATCAGATATTGATTGATGATCTGCGTTCAGAAACTCAGAAGTTTAAGGCCTCACTTTGACTTCATAAAATCTCTCCGATCCTGTGTTTTGTGGAATCAGATGAAGGTGATGAGGAAAAAGGCAGAATGAGGGTTTTTTTTTCTTTCTTCAATCAGGCAGTTTCCTTGGTAACAGGAGTGGGCGGGATCTGTAGGCACAGGGTTATCCAATCACAGGCCCTGTTTGGCAAGAGAGGCAGACACCTGACAGGAAGAGGAACTTGTGAGTTCATGTGTTTTACTTTCATCTTTTTAAAATGTGGTCTAAACCAGTAAATCTGTCACCTGGTCAGCCAGGGTGTCGAGGGGCGGAGCTTCAGCAGCGTTAAGGCTTCCAGGGGAGGAAGTGTTGCTAAGATGACGAGAGGAGGAGTCAGGCTGGATGACGATGTCAGCACCGTGGTCAGTACGAGCTTTGGCGTTCTCTTTAAAGGTCAGTTTCTGGCTCTCAATCTAACACACCAACAATATAAATAATATAATTAAATAATATAAAGATCAACAAATAATTCAAATATAAATAATAATATAAATAAATAATACAAATACAAATAATATTACATCCATAGTTCAATAATATAAATAAATATTAATATTGTTACTTATTACATAAGCTGTACAGTAATTAACATATATTAATTACTGTCATATAAAACTATATATAAATAAATATACTACAAAATGTAACATATAAGGTACAAAAAATTACAAAAATGTAAAATATATATACACAGACAATTCAAAATATATAAATATAGTTAGATGTATGATATAGAATGTACTTAGTATTATAATTAGTAATCAATAGTATAGTATCTCATGACAATCAATAGTACATAAACAAACAAACAAATATAAACACAGATGTGATGTAGTTAATAGAAAATGTATGAACAATAAAATGTGTTTGTGGTCAGAATATATATTAAATATCAATAGATAATAAAGTATGACTAATAATTAATAATTATTTATTTATTATTAGTTTGATATATTTGAAATGTAAAGTGGTCTGAGGTCTGTTTATGTAAAATAATAAACGCTGATCACAGATCAATACGTCATACAGAACATCACTTTATGTAACAGGAAGTAAAGTATTTATTATTAAACCAATAAATATACAATATAAAGTATTATTTTATAAAGAGCTCCAGTGTGACACATTAACATAATATCCATAGATATGTTTTCATTAATCAGCTTATAATAACAATCGTTGTTGTTTTTATCTACAGAGGGAGTGGCTCCTCTGCTGGCGGAGTCCGCCATGTTGAACCGCCATGTTTGTACAGTAGCCCAGAACAATCTGCAATCTCTAACTTCGCCAGTAGAGGGCTTTGAATGCTACACACTGGAGCTTTAAGGCTTCCAATTAGTTCATCTGCTCACAGGATGCTCATTGAATGTGCTGCGATGTTAGCGTGATGTTAGCGTGATGTTAGCATATACCTTCTTCTTCCCTCCTCCTGGCACATGAGTGACGTTCTCCAGAGAACCGACTTTAGACTGAACAGATTTAAAATCCAGTTTCTCTGATTTAATCTCCAACTTCCCTCCACCTACACACACACACACACACACACTGTTTATAGTACTACAGTACAATGTATGAATATAAATATTGTATTATCTCATACAATTACTACATGAACCTGGTTTGTGGTGGAGGTTGCCTTTGGAGCCACACTTTGACGTCACGTTACTGAGATCCAACTTCTTATGAACAATCTGAACCTACAGACAGACAGACAGACAGACAGATTTGGAGTCAAACAGTTAAACTTGTGTTAGTTTGCCACTGCAGCACGGACACGGGGGACTGTATGAATTGGGGCTGAGATATTCGGGCACCACTTTGGAGGTTGAAACTTGAAGTCGTGGAGGGTTTCAGAGCTGCCGGTGTCGCCTTTATGGTTACAGCGAAGTGATGAGATTAAAATCTGCCCACAGACAGCTGCTGGAGCCCGGAGAACTCTGCAGGAGAGAGCCCATAAACAAGTCTCACCGGATCCTGTTCTGATCTGTATACACTGTTTATTACTGATACTGTTGGGATTAAAAAGTGGATTTATCTTTACTGCTGCCTCTGTGGCTCTCAGCAGACATGCTGAGAAGAGAGAAAGTTGGAAAATATGTTTCTGTTACTTGATTCCAGCCATCA